GCGCGATTGGCTAAGCCGTTGTCGTATCCCAAGCTTCGAGCCATTATCTTGTCTATCTGCAGGCGGCCCCACAGCGTGGTTGTTGGTGGGAACGTCTGGCCTGCATCCCGCCAGCCTCCTCGATGTCTTGTCCGAATCAATCGCTGCGGTCGTCTTCCAGAACGTTTGTATCGACGCTATATCAACGCTATCGCCCGCAGATAACCGCGTTTGCAGTCAGAAAGAGCAAGGTCGCTGATACCGCGACTGAGGAATGCATGGGCCATGGGCTGGGCCTCCAAGACCAGAGTCGTTGGAGGCGCGAGCTAGTGGCTCTGGGCATTTCTTGGGGACGACTATCGCTACCCCGCGACCACCTGCTTTAGGCAGGAGGTTAGTCGATGGCATGCGACTGGGGCGCCACAGGTAATTGTTATCTTGGAACCAGCAAGCTCTTCTTGTCTCGCTGCTTGCCAGTGGTGGTTAGCAACTTGGCGAGGCTTGAGTAGCCCAGGACGCCTCGGCGATGCGGTGCGAAAAGAGCATCGTGCAGCACCTATCGCGCACGCGCCGAATGCCTTTCCGGGCACAACAGCCGCGGTGGCAATGCGTTTGCTGATGGACAGACGGTGGTGAAGGAGTCGATACGGTGCCCATCCCTGTGTCGGTGTGCGCGCCTTCCTTATCGGGCCTGAAGCTGTAGAGCACGACGTCGGACCCGTGATTCGCGTGCTCAAATTAAATGCACCACCACCCCATTCTCTTTGCTCGTCAGGGTCTCTCTTCTCCTCGCCGCACCCCATAAACAATCACCTGGCTGCTTTCCCAGTCACTCAACCACGGTCCACCTTCACTGTCAAACGGCCTAGGTGCACGCCCATCATGCCTGTTGGTGACGCCGGTGAAGTCGTGAGTACACTCTTCTCAAGCTCTATTGCATAACTGCTAACAACCCTTGCAGCAAGCTGTCGGCTTGGACCCCGCTCTTATTGACGCTTCTGGCGACCCCACGCGCAAGCACCCCGAGATGCACACAACCTCTGCGCCCGCCTACCTCCACTCCGAGGGCAAGGCCACGCTCCAGGACAGCTACCTCAACGAGGCTGATGACTTTCCCACCGACGAGGAGCTCGCCACGCTTCGCCGTGTGCCCGCTAGGATCCCATGGAAGATCTTCACCGTACGTGATCGCACTCACAGAGCACGTGAGACAAACACTGACTTGACTTCAGATCGCTTTCGTTGAGCTTGTCGAGCGTATGAGTTACTACGGAACTGTTGCTGTATACTCCAACTACATCGCTAAGCCGCTCACTACGCCCACTGGAGCCGCGCTCAACCCAGATGATGCTGAGGCTCAGCCCGGTGCCCTCAACATGGGCAAGCAGGTCGCTTTCAGTTTGACTACATTCAACGCCTTCTGGGTCTACGTCTGCCCGCTTCTCGGAGCCTGGATCGCCGACACCTACCTTGGTCGTTTCAAGACTATTCTGTACTCCGTCTTGGTCGCTGAAATCGGTCACTTGATCCTCGTCGCCTCAGCTGCGCCGTCTGTCTTGGAGAACTCCAACACTGCCCTCGGCGTTTTTATCCTCGGTCTCATCATCATGGGTCTTGGAACTGGAACTTTCAAGCCCAACATTGCCCCTCTTATCGCCGAACAAGTTCCTCAGGAGAAGATGCGCGTTGAGACACGCGGTACTGAGCGCGTCATTGTCGACCCCGCTGTCACGGTCACCCGTATCTACAACTGGTTCTACTTCTTCATCAACATCGGTGCTCTGGTCGGTCAAATCAGCATGGTTTACGCTGAGCGATACGTTGGTTTCTGGCTCGCGTACCTGATCCCCACCGTCATGTTCATCATCGCTCTCCCCGTCTTGATCTTCTGCAAGAAGTTCTACATCCTCCGTCCCCCGAGCGGTAACGTTATGGGCCCTGCTTTCAAGCTTCTCTTCAAGGCTCTTGGACGCGGAATGAGCATCAACCCCGTTAAGACTTGGAAAAACTGGAACGACGGCAACATGTGGACTGCTGTCAAGCCTTCCGTCCTTGGCTCCGCCGCACCCAAGTGGTACAACTTTGATGACGCCTGGGTTGATGAGGTTGCTCGTGGTTTCGCTGCCTGCTCCGTCTTCTTCTGGGTGCCTATCTTCTGGCTTGCATACCGCCAGATGGACTCCAACCTGACCCAGATGTGCGCCACCATGAAGCTCGGCGGCGTCCCCAACGACATTCTCTCCAACTTGGACCCCATCGCTATCATCATCATCGTAAGTACTGTCCAATGGTCCAACGCCCAGAACGAATGCTAATCGTACTATAGGTGCCTATCATGGACTCTCTCGTTTACCCCTTCCTTCGCAAGCGAGGTATCCGCTTCACTCCGATCAAGAAGATCACCGCTGGTTTCATCCTCGGAGCCTTCGCCATGGTCTGGGCAGCGGTTCTTCAACACTACATCTACAAGACCTCGGGCTACTACGAGACCAAGGACCCCGAGTACAAGACCGACATCACTGTCTGGGCTGTTACCGGTGTCTACGTCCTCATTGCCATCTCCGAGATCTTCGCCTCCGTCACCACTCTCGAGTACGCCTTTACCAAGGCTCCCAAGAACATGAGGTCGCTCGTTCAGTCCGTCCAGCTCTTCACCACCGCCTTCTCTGCCGCCCTCGCCCAGGCTTTCACTCCTCTTACCGCCGATCCCCACATCGTCTGGAACTACGGAAGTGTAGCCATCATCTCCTTCGTCACCGGTATCGCCTTCCACTTCGCCTACCGGAACATGGACAAGAACGAAGACCAGCTCAACCTGCTGCCCACCGGTCACCTCGGCACGGAGGGTCAGGCTGCTGACATCGAGAGGCGCCAGAGCGTCAACGAGGAGAGGCGCGCTAGCCTTGTCGCTCAAGAGAAGATGTAAGCGGTTCACATCGCGATGTGTTGATGCATGATGTTGTGATTCGCTTATCGAGTCACCGTTCAACGATATACCCCTCAAACCTATTGGTTACCGCGATTAGGACGCTAGTCATGTGTTATGTGCCGCTCGCTGGATGCGTCGGCTACTGGTCATGGCTAGTTTACTTACTTTAATGCCAAACTATCACTTCAAATAAATTGTTCCGCTGCGTACTCGTGATGTAAAACTGAATAGATGACAACTGAGTCGCCCACATCGCACTTGTCCACGACACTCTTGGCATTGATATGCAGTCCAATCAACCTTCTTGCATCTACCTGCCATACCATTCGAGTAAGAATTTTACTACATAAGGGAAGGGTTTATTTTCTCCAAAACGCTAAGGGTGTCAGTCATCGTTGCGACACACAGAGGAGTTGTCGCATCATTCTGAAACGCGTCCTAGCGCGTCGCCTTAAATTGCCTCTTAACACCCAGGTAGAGCCCTCGGACTCCTCTTACATCTACACAGCACTAGCCATCATCTTCCGATTCATATGGAATAGCCTTGACCACGACCGCAAAGTCTCAAATGTCGACTACTGAACTGCCAACTTCCCGCGGTGAAGCTTCCGCACATCTGGAAATGTACGCACTTTTAATATCTGACTTCTGCGTCACTGAAACTGACAGCACTTAGCTTCCGATTACAAGACCTTCCACTAGAGCTTCGCAATTATATCTACGAGTATGCGCTAGAGCCGAGGGTGACTCTCTGGCACAGTTGCTTGTACGACGAATACCGGCCGTCTACTTACCACTTGCCCAATCTCGAGCTGCATCCAGGTATGAAACATGCTAGATCGGCGTTCCTGATGTTGACGCAAGTACAGAAGATATGCAAGATGATGACGATCGATCCGACAGCTTCGAAGAAGATTTAGAAGGAGACAAGTACTTGGAGGATCCCAACTTGTCGATCGCGGGTAGCCCGCGTGATGATGGAAACACCGCCGTCTTGGCCTTCAAGATCTTGATAGCGACGCCTTTACTCGCTGTGTCTAAAGCCACCAATGAGGAAATGACGAAGGTACTAACCACCACCAAGAGATACTATGAGAGACTTCTGTTGTCGTCAATATATTTACACCGCATCACATCACCAAGCGCAGCTCTCATCGATTTATGGGCCAGCTGCGAGTTCTTCCTCCGGCACGACTACGGCAAGTCCATATTCTTCCTGAGAGATCTTCCAGACTCGCTGAAACCTTGCGTTCGCCGGCTGGTGCTCCCTTATGATTTCCTAAGTCTTATTGCATACTCGCGGTGGACCAAAGAGCAGTCAAGAGGTGGGGCCTTATTTACAAACTGGATCTCAGAAAATTTCCCCAACTTACGGACGGTGGTGATTGAGGTACCAGACGTGTGCGAAGTCATGGAAATGAATTGGAATGAGGCTTCGGACTATCTGTGCGAGATGCTCAAGAACGGCCGTTTGGACACCGTGAGATTCTATTACAAAGACTATGAGAAGGGCGAATGTGCACGTAGGGAAACAGATTCCCTCTTTTTTAGACACATAACGCTAGAGGGATGTGACTATGAAGGGACAGAAGAGGAAGATCGGTCATTACTGACTGGAGTTGAGGAACCCATATCCCCTACCTCACTGGCGTCTCAACTATGGCGCGACTTGCGGGCCTGCCGTGTTGTCAAGATCACGAGATCGCAGGCAACAGCCTAGTACAGCGGCTGCGATACATCTTAGCAAGGCTCCCGATCGTCTTGTTGGTCGTCAGCACACAGTTCAGGCGTTGGTCGTGGTCTCGACGAATTCAGGCGTAAAGTGGATCCTCGTTGTAGTAAAGACACAAAAGCATGCAGAGATTCAAAGTTTTAAAGTACGCGCAATTCTTGGAGCTGTGTGACCGTGTATGCTACTTGTGAAAAGACTCGCAAGGCTCGAGCGACGGAACAAGAAGAGGTCCTAGCGTTCGCGAGACGCGTCTCGACGCGTCGCGCTAGTGCCATCCCCTCCTTCCGCGAGGCTGGGGCTCCTCTTCCGTTGTGTTCGCAAGCGCAATACCGAAGCCCGGTTTTACACACACCAACAGCAATGCGTGAAGAGACGGCGGAAGCATCGCGGTCTGGGCATGGTGATGCCGCCGCACATCTAGACTCGTTAGGACTCTCCGCCGTACGCATCGCGCTTCTATAGCTAACAATGTGCAGATTCCGTCTGCATGACCTACCGCAAGAACTTCGCGATATGATATATGATTATTCACTTGAGCCAAGAGCGATCTTTCGGCATACGAACCGCGAAGATCAACGGGAACAAAACCAGGGTTACGACCTGCCAGAGACGAATCCTAGCAAAGGTACGCAGACTCGGGTGTAACCACCACGTCAGGACTAACTCTCCCATAGAAGACCCGCAGATGATTCTCGATATGATGAAAACACCGCGAGTGCTTGATGAGGACCAGCCAGTTCCGGACGAGCTTTACGATGTGTTTTGGAACGACCCTAATGGAAGCTTAGGCGCATTCTCTGATCACCAAGATGTAATGCTCACGTACAAGATCTTCATGTCGACACCACTACTTCTTGTTTCCAAGGAAGTGAATAGAGAGGCGGAGAGGGTACTGCGGGCCAACAAACGAGGATGGATCAATTACTACAACGAAGTCGCGCGATCCAACATACATTACCATCGGATCATTAAACCGACCAGGGCTTTCCAGTACCTTTGGTCTCGCAGTCAGGTCGTTCTGGAAAACACTACCGCGGATACCATGTTCTTCTTGCAGTTCCTACCGGAGGTCTTGAAGAAGAGCCTTCATAGTTTGATCATCACGAAAAGCTTGATGATCGAAAACGAATTGTCGATAGCACTCTGGCAAACTGACGACGAAAAGGGCGGATCGTTCATGTCAAACTTGATCAAAGAACACTATCCTAACCTGCGTACAATGGCTCTTGAGATACCAAGCACGGAGGAAGAGATGAGAAGCAATATCAATAACGCTTTCGGGCACTTATGCGATATGCTCAAGATGAAAGATCTAGATGCCCTCAGGTACTTCTTCAGGGAGGCTTGCTTTTCTCAATCCGACGGCTGGTTCCTCATAGATGTGGACCTAGAAGGGTGGGAGCTCAGCGATGAGTCCGACGACTATGAGGTGGGAGAAGACGAAATTTCGGAGCGCTACAAACAACCCCTGGATGGCGTGGAGGAAACTATTTCGCCTACTTCAATCGGGTCTGCAGTATGGCGCGATCTGGGAATGGAGCGCGTCGTCAAGATCACGAGGTCGCAGACAGCAGCCTAGCGCTGTGGCTGCGACGTATTCTAATATGTGTTTTGAATCAGACCTAGGTTGCATTAATTTTTCCCGTCGCTCCGTCCTCCAGTCATTCTCATTGCGACAGTTAGTCAGGGGTGTGCCTATTGGCTGTGCTACGCTACTCACCTCGCTCGGCGCCCACTCACCACTAGCTAAACAAATGTGTAAAAAAAAAAAATGTCTGGAAATATTGTCGCAACGTCGCGGTACTGCTTACAAGTATAGATGCCTTATTGGTGGTATACGTTGCGACAACCGTGGTCAAAGTGTGCAACCATGGTACCGAGAGTCTGCCGCCTTCAGGCATCAAGATCACGTTTTCAGTTCCAGTATGTATATATTGCGCTTGGCTTCCCACTCTCATCTCATCTCTACAATTAACTTCCTGTTCCCATTCATGCTCTACAATTAAACTATTGCAGCAAATACCGAAACTCAGACATCATGACTCTTACCATGATTCAAACCTCAACCGAGTTCGAAGCGGATCAGCTCTACAACGCCATTCACTACTCAGATTTCGCCTATGACTACACAACGGCGGTTTCAGCCTATTTGAAAGACTTTCCTGCTCTCCCCTCCGTTCCGACCACCGAATACTCCTACGCACCAACCTCAATACCTACTTGGTGGCCAGACTTCACGCACAGTACACTTTTGTCAGACATGTCTTATCCAGTCTCACCAAGAGAGTTGAAATCTCTGATCGAAGCCGAATTACACCAAGGTCTCACGCAGTCAGCTATCCTCCAGCACTGGATGAAGAGATCTGGGAGCGAAATCCCGCTTGGCAGTGCCGCTGCAGCCGCAGCACTCCAAGACGCTATCATCGTGGCCTCTGATGCCGAGTGGTACGAGCACGATGACCATTTCATCACGGAACTCGGAATATCTGTTCTCGATCCGCGTTCCGTGCCACAACCATTTTCCTCATCACCATGGGGTATTCTCACCAGCATGGAGAACTACCACGTGCGCATCAAGCCCCACGCACATCTCACCAACAAAGACCTCTGCGAAGGGCATCCAGATGCCTTTCAATTCGGCAGCACAACCTTTGTCAGCGTGAAAGAAGCGAAAGAAATGCTGCGCAGCATTTTCACTCGCCAAGACATATACGGTAACCTACGTCCAATAATCTTCGTAGGCCACGCCGTCTCAAACGACTACGAAGTCATAAAATCGCGCTTTGGTCTCGACCTTGAAGAAATCGGCACCATCGTCGCAACAATCGACACACAAGTGCTGGCCGTAGAGCACGGCCTCGTAAACCCATCCCGCAAAATCCGCCTTGCACATCTCCTCGCCGAATACGACATCAAAGAACCATACCTTCACAACGCCGGCAACGACATCGTATGCACCATGATCGCCGCCTTCCTAATGCTTTGTCCTCCAACCCAAACCCCGCTCAACAAACTCCACTACGTGGACCTCAAAGCGCAACTCCGCGACGCGGGCCAAACCGCCATCAAAGAAGGTCGCGGCTACGGCGTCACGCGTTTCTGTGAGAAATGTGATTCACATCACCACACCGCACCGTATTGCCGTGTGAGTGTCTGGCACTGTGAACACTGCGAAAAAGACCCTCTGACACGACACATGGCGTATACTCATAATTCGCAGAAATGCATTAATGTAGTTAAGCAGGCTGCGCTGATCAAGAAACAGGGTAGCATGGGTTATGGACAGGGCGGGTCGAAGCGCTCGAGTAGTCCTAATGCTGTGCCGTGTGAGTTTTGTATTGAGAGTACAGATCCGAGACGGTATTGTAATGAGAATGCTTATGGGCATAAGACGGGGGATTGTGTGTGGCGGAGATAGAAAACATGAGAAAATCGGATCAAATTATTTTTAATACGTGTGTCCTGACTGCATACATGTGATGATTCGCTGCATGTAGGGTGTTCAAATTCGGGATGTAACTGCCCAGGTATCTCTTGCGCATGGTTTCTGCGAGTTGAGGAAGGCGTGAATAGCTCATCGACGAATGCACTGTCATCGTCGATGCGCATGCATTGTTTGAGGAGATACCGGGTTGATCGAAATTACATATGTGGCCTAATTCGCCAGGTCGTCTTCTCGCTGCGAAATCTGTCTTGTTGAGTGGAAAGGTGCAGCGTGTCTGCCTTCCAAGGTTAGCGATGTCGCACAGCGTTGACGCGGTGACGTGAGGAGCAAACAAACATACCCTCGTTGCTGCCTACGCGCTTTCCCTTGAAATCTGGCACGCGCCTTTTCAATGTGACACCTTCCATCCCCATCGCTTCTGCACACCTTCCGCTTTCCATACAGCCTTGTTTTCTTACATCTTCATCGCACTACCGCTGCTTGCCAACAAGCTTCAGCATCTCTACACGCCTGTGTTACTTCATCGACCTGTCTCAGCGTTCACAGTCATGTCTTACCGCGCCTTTCACGACATGCCCACCGAGCTTATCGAGGCCGCCGCAGGCTATATGGACGACGCAGACCTTCTGTCCTTTCGCTTGACATGTAGACATGCAGACGCGAAGACTCTACGCGTAGTCGGCAAGCGCTTCTTCTCCAGCCTCAAGACTACTCTGATGGCGTCCGATCTCGAGAAGCTCGACGGCGTCTCTCGAAGTGCGCGACTAGCCAAATACGTTAGGAACATCCGGATCGAAGACGACCAACTGGAGGTTGTATCATCTATGCCCTCGGACAAAGGCAATTATCTAGATCCACGGGAGCTAGCGATGTTGAGAGCGAGGCATCGCAGATGGCTGCACGAAACAATGGTCGTCCCTGAGGTGGACAAGACCGCCGTTGCCAAATTGAAGGCCATAATCGGGGAACGCCTTTTGTCTCTAGATACCCTTGCTATTCACTACTCTGACACTAGAGATGTGGAGAAAGCTACAGAAGCTACCATCGCGCTCGCTCAAGAGATCGTCCTAGACGGGAAACTTGCCAGTACCGCATTCTCAGTCTACTTAAGTTCTCGAGGGCTTTCTTGGGTAGGAGCCGTCTTGACTCTGTATCTTGATCGATCTAGAGAAGGCTTGGATAACAGACTGCTTCAGGATGTGGGATTGCAGCTGTTGTCCGGTGGGCCTCCGCCGGACCACCTGCTTACCTCAATTTCCGAGTGCACGCAAAGGTTGGGACATCTCCGAATGGAGTGCACAGGACCGCAATACGCCCTACTTGTCGGCCTCGTGTACCAAGGAAGGCGCCTGCCCAAGCGGGCAATCCTGCGGTTTTTGTCGTCAAAGGCGTTTCGCACATTGTACAGGACATTCTGACGAGTGTTGGTCTTACACACATCTCCGTGGTCTCCGTGTCACGACCGGAAGACTTGTTGCACGAAGTTTTGGACGAATACCCACAATGGCAGACTTGGCAAGTAAGGATTGCTTTGACCCTGCGCGGATCGATGGGGGAACTGGACAACATGTTTCTTTCTACTACTTGGAGGGGCACTAGTATCCTAGTCGGCAACTTTTGTATCCTTTGAACTATACAGATCGTTGCACTGCATGCCATAATCTACGCAGTAGAGTGGTAGGATGGCGGCATGTATTTTGGTATTCACGAAGTCGCGCCTCAGACAACTAAGAGATCTCTGTCACTGTATCAGGCGCCTTAAATTCGAGCCCTTTTCCGTCTCAACCAATCGTGAACAGGTAGCGGGGGTTTGCACATGTCTCGACACGTATAGCGCGCCGTTGGCAAAGTTCCATATGTCCGAAACTCTTATCTATCAAAGCGACCATTCTCAACATACCGCTCCCACCAATCATCCCACCTACACACCCCCCATAACCCCCTCCATCCACGGATAAACCGTGCCATTCGCCTCCGGATACCCCATATGCAGCCTCCCCTGCATAAACCGCATCTCCTTCGGACTCCCATACTCCGCCAGCAACATACTATCCTCCACCGGCATACACCCATCCAACACACCATTCACAAGCAACAACCTACAGCTGCTCATACCCTGCCCTACAACAGCCACACCCTCGCCCTTTCCACTCACGAGCGAGAATTCATCTTGGCATTTCTCTTTCATCTCGTCAAAGGACGAATAGCCGTATTTCTGGATATACGCTTCCTCGAGACCGAAGGGGTATTCGTGTTTAGAGATCTGTGAGAGCCATTCTGAACCGATGTAGTGATGTGTTCCGGCGCCGTGGCCGACGCTGCCGAGGAGGCGGGAAGAGTTCGTGTGCGCGAGGCGGATGGCGTAGTAGCCGCCGGCTGAGAGACCCCATGCGATGACTTTCTTTTCGTTCAGATAAGGCGTTTCGTGGATCCAGTCTAGGATGCTGGTGAAGAGCCGGTCTGGGGAGAGCGGGTCGCGCTTGTTGGCGGGGCAGTCGACGGTTGTGCCGGGTATGTCGCAGATTAGGGTTGCCCAACCGCGGCTCAGGTGCTCTTGTGTGCGCTCCGTGTTGTCGGGGCGGTGGCCGTCTAGGCCGGTGATGAGGAGGACGGTGGGGAAGGGGCCTGAGCCGGTGGGTTTGCGGGTGTAGAGGGGGATGGAGGTGCCGTCGCCGTTGGAGGCTTGTTTGTGGGGTATTACGACTTCTTCGAGGGGGATGTCCCAGAGTTGTGCGCCGCGGAAGTAGACTTCCTTTTGCTCTTCGAAGACCTTCTTCTTGAGCTCCGTGCCGATGTAGGGGAATCGTGCTAATCTGTATACGGCGTTTGCGTTGAGGTATAGCTTCTTCGCTGCCTCTTTGTCCTTGTTTTCCATCTCTTTGGCTTCCTTCGCTAGGCGTTGCGCTGTTGGCAAGAAGGCGTTGGTATATGCATCGTCGTAAGGGTCGTTGATGTTGTTGTCGATGAGGTGTTTGAAGATTGGTTCGAAATCTTCAAACTTGCCATCGTGGAAAGGGTAAACGCCTTTGGTGCAGGGAAACTTCCAACGTTGTTCCCAGAGTTTCTGAATACTGCCGCGATGTCCGTATTCCTTGGTGAAGAGGTCTCCGAGGATCCAATTTCCGTTAGGCATGATGCAAATCTTTTGATCGAAGGAATGTGCAAGGGTATAGTTTAGACAGACTGCCAGCTGTTTGCATGTCGTCGTTGCGCATACAAGCGTTGTATATACATGGACGTTTCGGGATCGGCGGGGCCGGCTCGCCAGTTGTTTCAGGCCCGTCCGGACGGACCCCCGCAAAATGAACTACGGCTTCCCGTAGTCTGCATCAACCAAACGTACGTTAAAACTTCCGATGAAGCTGACGTTGATCTACATGGATGGTGCGACAAAGTGGCAAGACCCTGAATGCAGGCACGCGGATATGCATTATTGCCCGGGAAACTCTTCTGCCTCTTCCTCCTCTGCTTTACGCTTCACGTACTCTCTGAGAACATGCACAAGTCTCATCCTACCGTCTTGCCTCTCAAACACCTGTGCGTGGTCTACAGTAGGCCACCAAATCGTCTCTGTGCCGTGGCCTCTCCACTCGGAGTCCTTCCAGGTTCTGTCCTCGCCCTTGAGGTCAGCACCATTGAGGTACTTCCCGATGGTCTCGGTGTCAACTATCAGATCCCTGCCTCCGAGGCTGACAGTTACATCGCGGTCTTTGAGGTCCTCCTTCCACAGTATGTTTTGTGCCCAGAAGAACTGGCGCGCCAGGGTTTGCGCAACCATCATGTCGGTAGAAGCGAAGTAATAGAGCTGGTGCTCGTTCGCGCCTTTCGGTCGACGCGCGGTAAAGTTGTACGCCACGTCGGGAAGATGTAACAGGAATGTAACAGGGTCGATGAAGACCATCGGGCCGATTTTGGCAGTGGTGATGGGGTCCCGAAGAAGGTGGGTAGAGATGACGGAGCCGTAAGAGTGACTTGCGAGTACAACTTTGTCGAAAGCATGGCGTTCCAGAATCATGTTGATCTGGCGACAAATGTCGTCTTTATCGGGAATCGCCCCAGTGATGCGGAAGCTGACAGGCATGATTTCCACAGCAATAATACCGACCTGACCATCTTGTGCCGCAAGCGGATCGTGCTTGTTTATCTCGTTCAAGAACTCGACGTATGGGTGCAGGCCGATGCCGATGCCGTGTACGAAGAGAACGGGTAGTCGCGTCTTCGAGGTGTGTGGTCGGTACCAGTAACTCAGATCAGGCGCGGATGAGATGTTGCGCGTAGTGAAATTGGCGAGTCGCGGTGGGAAGATGGCCAGCGAGGAGCGAAGGTGGGTGCGAAACAACATAAAGCCGTAGTAGCGCAGACGAGCGGCGGTGAGGGTATCGACCAGCATGACGATCTGTCGCCATCAGTATCACATATAATCTCAAGACCAGCAGACATACCATATACCACAGAAACGGCCGATGCGCCATGTTGACTTGGTCGATAGTCAGGCGCAAGCTCTTTGCGCTGCCCATGCCAGGCGCCAGCTTCCTCCCTAGCATCGTCTCTATGCCATCCGCATACTCGTTGAGCTCGTCGTCCTCAGCATTGGTTTCTTCCGGGTGCGCCTGCCGCCTCTTCCTCCGCTCCTCATCGCTCTCGGTGCCGCGGTTCAGCAGCGCCCACGCAAAGAACTCGCGCACATTCTCGCGTCGTATTTCGCCCGGTCTCGCGCCCAGAAACCACCTGCTGACGTAGTACTCGGGGTGCGGGATCTTATCCCAGCATCGCCAGAAGAGCTCCT